GTATCCCATCAAATCATGTAAAGGAATTTTGGTGGAAACAATCCATTGTGGAGAAATGGGTCCGGAGCTGCATACACCATTTGGAATCGTTCGCGACCGGTGAGAGTTATACGTATGTGACAATTTTACATGAACACATGCATGTATTATTTTTTTTTATGTACCGAATAAATATCCGAGTGCATAACGTAGCACTGGAAAGGATTATCTACCAAAAAAACATTAGGTTACAACAATCAATTCACTAATGCGAACGAGACAGATATTATAACAGATTTGTGGTAAGAGGTAAGTATATACGATGCACGTATGAAAATAATTTAGTGTGTGCACTGTGTACAAGTTTATAGAATGATTTATTCGGGTAGTTGATTAATATTTGAGTAGTTTTGTAGTTATTTGCAACATGTCTGACGGATTAATTGTGCAGCAGAGCAAGTAAAACTGTACAAGAACTTTCTACTCATAGAACATGGATGGTTGTCAATGCCGAATACCACTTCCTGACACAGCGCCGAATCCCGCGGATGGCCTTAATTTGTCCGGAGATCGATGGTGCTTTTCTGTTGGTGACCGCTCCGGATATGGCGCCACTGCGAGTGCCCATACAGCCTGACCTGTCGACCGCCAAAGTTGTCCAATCTGCGTAAGTAACGCATCGGTACAATATAGAAGTACTACTGTTATACGTTTCCTGGACGCCATTACAGTTTGTTCGAAATTTCGACGGAATCGTGTCGCTGCACAGAGCACATAGACAGCTGAGCACGGAAAACTTATCGGAAGTTATTGTATCACTGACATGTGAATATTTATTGAATTTTGCTTATGTCAATAGTGTCTGGAGTCAAGAGATTTCAGGGATTGACTGTGGGGATGAAGCCGGCGAGTGGTTTTCCAAGTTCTTAGAAGAACCAGGGCTGCGCTTGATATACCATCCACCTGAATTTGCCGGTCGGCAACTGGTGGAAAGAGATGCCAAAGTGCTGAAAATCAAGCGGAAAATGTGGGAAGATAAAGACAAAGTATGACTTTGTCAGCGTTAACATGGCTAGAGGTGTACGCGTAAAATAATGCTTCATTACTGTAGTGATATGTGTCATAAGACATAATTAACAACAACCGCTACATATCTCCTTTTATTAAATTTCAGAAAATTAATTTTATTTTAAATCTGGTTAGTAATCTACCGCATTTGCTTTGTACTCTTTAGTGCGCTTTTGCGGATGCCGCACCGTATCAGCTGCTCAGTGAGGACTCGGTTGCCGAGCTCAGTCGGCACATGGACACACCGGTACCGTATCTTCACTTCCGGCCAAGCATTTTAGTTAACGGATGCCCACCGAACAACGAGGTACCGTAGATGTGTAGCTTTTGAAGATTATACCACATTTCAACCATGACTGTTCTCACACACAGCAACAATAACTTTATTGATTGTTTCTTTACGTTTTAACCATGATTGTGCAGGATCACTGGTGGCGTTTTCGAATTGGAACGTCCGAATTCCGTGCTACAAAGCAGCGTTGCAGGTACATACAGATATTCTTGACATGAGCTTACTGCACATTATTATTCATCGCAGTGCTAAACGGAAATCATACTTGTTGAGATAATCATTCCCAATATGTTTTGCACTGAAGAAGTTTCTCTGTGCTTTTATAGATGCACTTTAACGACAGTGGATCCACAAACCGGCACATTTGGAAGGAAAGATGTGCTTGAGACACTCAAAAAGTACTTACCTACGATTAGTTAAAATCATAATAATCATTATAATCCCTGTTCATGGTCAGTACGATAATTAAAAATTTCGGTTAGACGTAGATTCAACTGTCATCAGTTGGTATTTATAATTTATTGTACATGTGCCGTACAGTAATAAGTAATTTCGTACGAGTACAGTTAAAACTACTTAATTTCGTTGCTTTTCCGTTGTCGTTATAAAAAACTTGTTTTTCCGTTGTCGTTATAAATAACAAAAAATTGTCACTTGCTTATTAGTTTAACGTTTAACAAGCGAATTTTGCACAGGTTCCGCTCAAACCAGAGTGCCGAATGGGACGAGGTGTACAAGTTTGGACCGTTGCTTGCTGTCGATTTGGGTATCGATAAAACGGGAACATGCTCCGTCGGAGACATAATTGTGCACTTACCTGACGAATGATACAAAACTATCCTGTCTATCGTCGCATCTTGTATAATTCTTTATGTAAAAGCACATGTTTTCTTGATAATTATGTCATTTACATCCATTTGATTGTATTAATATTAAGATGAATAATAATGATTGCCTTTATGCGTTTTCAATAATTCTATTGTAAAGCAGTAAAACACGTTTCTTAATGAAGTGATTTGTTGTCAATGACGATCTAATAGACAAAGTAAAAAAATACAGACTATGACGAGCGAAAAATGATTTAATTTCTGGGAGTATCTGCTAAGTAAACATAAACCAAAGCGTTTATATATTTACTAAAGAACAAATAACCAAAAGTTATCCATAAATACCATCCCAAACAAAGCATCAAAGGGAAACAAACTGATTTTATAAAGATGATATTAAATAGTTCAGAAAAAGCTAATGCAAACTGGAAGCGTCGAATAACAAACCGGCCATCAAGATTTTGCCTGGTTAGAATAAATAAACTCACAATGAGAAACAGTCCAAAAAATGATCAGAAAGGAACAACCACGCATCGAGCGCCGGCACCACGGTAAACTACGTAATATTATAACCATACAAAACAAGCAAGCAACATGTAAAAATCAATCAAATTAGAACATGTCCGGATAATGTCCAGCACGTACTGCTGTTGCTGCTGCAGAAGATCGCCGCTAGATGCATTCGACCAATGTGTTGCTTGCCTGGCAAAGCCATGAGCAATCCAGGGAGAAAATCACAACGCGGACATTATAAGCTTGGATTTAACAGCATCCTTTGCCGGGTTTACCGCTGGCTTGTGGCAATGGAGTATTCTCCTGGACGCCGCCGCCGCCCGGAGTCTAAAGAAGCACAAAATTTTGTATATAAGCACAAATAAAATTTGGATGAATAAAATAATAATTTTTACACAAATTCCAATTTGTACAGATATATCTGTAAATTCTAAAATATTTTTTAAGAATATTTTATGAATTTTTTACCAATGATCAGACAAAACAAACCATAAAGCGAAATCGGTAGTAGTTTAATTTGTATAAATAAAATAATAAAAATTTCTATTTCAATTTGTAATACCTGCTTTTTCTCTACCTAGGGAAAAAAGTATTACAAAGCAACAAAAATACTGACTCTGGAGACTTTATCCAGAATGGCCTCGGACAGCTCGTAAAAGGCCCGCTCCACGTTGATGTTGGCCTTGGCGCTGGTCTCCAGGAAGCGGATGGCATGCTGCCGCGCGATGGACTCACCGCGTTCCCGGCTGATGGCCCGTTTGTCCTCCATGTCGCATTTATTGCCCAGCAGCATCTTCTCCACATCCTCGTTGGCATGCTACAGTCGACAATCACTGACACGTCACAATCCAGCCAACGCTAATGTTATTCAACAAAAAGTACCTCTTCGATATTACGCAGCCATTTGGCGATGTTGTCAAACGATTTGGGCTGTGTTATGTCGTACACCAGCATAATCCCCATGGCGCCGCGATAATATGACGTTGTTATGGTGTGGAAGCGCTCCTGTCCAGCAGTGTCCCTGTAAAATAAAAATTTTGAAAATCATACTTCAATAAAAATTAAAATAAAGATTTAATAAAAAATAAGAATTAATCAACGGGCTTTTCGCGCTGGCTTTCGTTTAAAATTTTTAAACAACGCTTCGAAACAGCTTTAGTAAGAAATCACTAAATACATAACACGATGATTATATAACAATTATTTCCTTCACATTTGTCACTAACGAGATATTACGGCATTAGCACAGTATTACGTACCAGATCTGCAGTTTGATCTTTTTTCCTCGCAGTTCAATGGTTTTGATCTTGAAATCAATCCCTACAAAAACCCAAACAACCACTCAATCGCTGCTAACCACCGAATATTTTTGGCCATTAATTTATTAAGCAAACGCACTGCCATTGTTCTATTGTATTATGAATAGGAATGACTCATGCCTGGGTGCGTGCTGCTACTGCAAAGTGTCAGAAGTGCTTTGGTGGGCTGCTGTGGGACCAGCAACCCCCAAACAACAACAGCCTCAATCCTTGGGAAATCTCCCAAATCACAGCAACGGAAAGAACTTGTAGAACCATACCTATAGTGGAAATGAAGGTCGTATTGAAAGCATCATCGGAAAATCGGAAGAGAATGCAGGTTTTGCCCACTCCGGAATCCCCGATCAGCAGCAGTTTGAAGAGCAGATCATACGTCCGTTTGGCCATTTTCGTTTGACTGACAGATCTCACAGCTAACACACGGGCAAGCACTCAGCTACGTCCACACAAAGCAAAAATTCGATTCCTCCAACCCGTCAATCACCACTCAGTCCAGGACGTCAGAACCTTACAGATTACTTCAAGGTTCCTTGTGATGGGAAAAAAACCATAGAAATAAGAAATGATCAATGACGTGTGCAGTTTCAGATCACGCAACAGATAGTCTTTCCGGACAAAAACAGATGCTCCGTTCTCTCACAGATTGAAGAAAACAAAATAATGAAAAAAATACAGGTATTCAGGAGAAAAGCAGGCGATGTTTTCCAACAATCATGAGAGAAAAGTCAAACAGCAAACATCAGAAATAAAAATTTCCCAAGGATTTCTCGTGGACCTGGCGAGCGTGCTTAGCAGGCAGTTGGTAGCCCCCACCGGGAACCAGCTTCATGCGGTCGACCGGAAGTGATACTGCGTGTGCCTGCTCTGCCAGTCCGAGTTGACGTTTCGTTTGCTCCGCGTCGCATTAAAAATAATTTTTGTGCCTTGTTGAATGTTGTGACGGATGTTGTCTCTTTTAATTTTGCAACCGTTTCATCTTCTTTAGACCGTGAATGGTGAATATGTTTATAGATTATTGCAAGTTTGCCACCAACTCGTGAAAGTCAGCGAATTAATCGTTCGGGGATTGTAATAGCATCAGGAACTGGAAAACGACGATGTTGTAGTTTTCTTACATTGCTAGTTTTCTACGATGGGATACCGAGCGTCTGTTCTTCGCAAGTCCAGGCCTGATGCCAACACGAGCCGCGTCGAACAATTAATGGATTTGGACAGCGGAGACACTGCGCATCATCCGCTGCCGGAGCTGGAACTGCGGAATGCTCCGTCGCCTGTGCGCTCTTGGGACTGTTCGACACCAGCTGCAACACCATCTTCCTCCAGTTCACGTTCTAGTGAGTGACATAAGCATTCCAGCAGAGCAGTACTTACACAGTTATACTGCGCAGTGAGCTACATGCTATCAGCTATTCGACACTTTAATTCTCGGAAGACTGAGAAAAATACTGTTTTCTAATGTAGAAATATTGTGTTGAAAATTTTTCATTTCGCGGTTAAAATATGCGGATAACACATGGAAGTGCAGTGTCATTTATTGTGTCAGTGATGCAGTACCTATCTCTTCGAAAAATCCGTAGCTCAAAGGGAAATTTGGATAAGCCATAACTGTAAAAGATAAGTAGTAATTCAAATACCTAATATTATCGTGTTTATCATTGTTTCCGAAAGCAGCTAGCCGTGGTCGAAAGCTGGAAGTTGCGTAAGCATTCAATAAAAAGTGGTGCAATAATAACATACATAAATTAAGTAGAAGCACAGCACAGAGCTTAATTTCCAGTTTCTTTCGCCCTGTTATACCGATATTAACTTGTCAACACGTGTTTAACAAATACGACATAGCCAAATTGATTTATTAATCTACAGATACGTTGTCGGAAACGGATGCGCGTCAATCGATTACGGATTTCTCCAGATTGCCGATACACTGTACTCCTGCCGCTGACGATGACGCCGATGATTTACCGGGCGGACCGTGCGGCCATTTTCCCGTGTCGACACAAACCCCGGCTTCCCACGCGGTGGTACGATTCTCTGGTGGGTGATATTTACTTGACGTTATTCGGAATAGACGTTGTATTGTTTGTCAAAATTATCACTGCGGTGAAATGTGTCACTTCTTCACTTTTGTTCCTCGCGATTGTGCAGAATTTTAAGTTTATCTGTGATGGCATAAAGTAACAGTACGGAACATTAGACTGGTGGTTATTTTGCAAGACTTTGGATTGCATTGCTTACGTTATTTTGCAGAACTTTGTAGAAATTATATACATAATTCAACTTGTGTGTTATTTCGTTTAGACTTGCGCAGCCGTAATTCTCCCTCCAGCATTCCGAATTTACTCCCCATTCCGCATATATTCCGCCGTACATTGACCGATACTGGGATCTCATGAAGGCCAGAAGCATCATTCTGCAGAAAGCAGCCGCATCCGTACGCTTTGCCGGTGATATGGTGTATGGTGAGGCATCTACACGCAATTCCCAACTCATGATATCCGCGTTAAGAGATGGTCTTATACCCGTAAGCACGTCATAAGTTGTTGCAAAAATTGTGACGATTAAGATTAAATTATAAAGATTACAAATTAAACGTTATACGCTTTGGAATACGTATGTTAAAACGTGTACACTCGGAATCAAGCTTTCTCAGAGGTTTTGAGCGATGAGTTCTATATTACAGTCACCTTATTCTTTAAAATGCGTATAGCTCCACTTTGTTGGCGTGCTGTGTGATGTGTGCTTTGATGGTTTCCTTACCGTGCTGAGATTTACATCGTTTTGATTTTCTTTACCGCAGCATCAGCCCCAAGCAACTCCATCGCGAATTCTCAGGTTATTTGGAGTATCACTGCAAATCGACGTGGAGCGCCTAACACATTTGGCCTTTATGCTTCCGGGGTTTCATGACTTCGCTCCTGAGGATCAAAAGTCCTGCTCACTGACAAATATTTGGTTCACCAGTCGGTGAGTGCCTGAGTGGTAGTTTTTCAATGAATTTGATGTATGCTGGTACTTTAAAGCTTGAATTATAAATTCTCAAAACTTTGAAGCAGTTCTCTGTAGATACTCAACTCCCGATTCTTCTACAAAGGTGAATACTACATGTACATGAACGGTCCAGACGGGATCCATCTGTGCCAGGCGATGGCGGATCTGATGGGCTTCCCCCCGGATTTTATGCGCTTTATCGGGGCATTTCAAGAGAAAGTCAATGATATTGGTCTTACACTAACGGAAACCTACTTGCTATCAGCAGCAGCAATTTTCACACCAGGTCAGGCATTTTCGATGACAATAGCTGATGACGATGTCAGAACTAGTCGCTCAAAGTTCACCACGATTTTTCTGATCTATTAAACACAAATGATGTAATGATGTGACACGGTATACTTGCTTCTGTACCTGGTTGTTTTAAAAAATTTTTTTTAAAAAGTGATTTTCTGGAAATTTTTTAAATTTTTTGTTCTCATCAAGATAATATTTTCATGCAGATATTGAGAATGTGAGCAACAGAGCGTTAGTGGCGGCTCAGCATGCATTTTATTTGGACGCGTTATTCTATCAATTCGGACACCGTCTGAACATCGCCGATCGTGCCATTGCCAGCGCGAAAGTGGAGCGAGTGGTGCAGCTGTTTTCCGTCCTGGACAGAGTCTCCGCGGAGTATGTTCGGAATCTGGATTTATCCACACTTCCGGTGAGATCGCGGTGTATTTTGTTTGCTGAATCGGGAAGTGGCTGAATTCCTGTTGAAGTTCCGATACAGATTCCTAAAGTGTATACAGTATTTTTTTAAAACGAGTGTTGCAGTTGGAGGCAACATTTGTTGTATTGTGATTTATCGTTTGTGGTTCATTTTGAACTGTGAATCTCTTCTTGAGTTTGACTGCTGATTCTTTTATTCTGCCAGGATTACTTTGTAGCAGGGAATTTCGGACTGTTATAAATTTATGTATTGTCGGATACATCTTATCGTTAATTCTATGAAATTACTCGTATCTGTCCTGCGCTGATGTCAAAAAATGCTGCCTGTGATCAACAGTAACTCGTCTGTAGTACTGTAAGTGCGACTGTACGAATATCGCATTTTACCTTGTGATACGATATTGTTGATCTCGATTTTTAAGCTGAATAATTCAGTCTATTGTAAAATTGTGGCTTCCGAAGGTTCCTCCTTACTTTTCAGTAGGTATATCAGGAAGAAAGAAAGTATGATATTTGCTGCACTGCAATACTTCTAGTGCATTGCATGTATAGCCAACGAATCACATACTAATTCTAATTATTTTCAGACTTCTTTGAGTCGCACTTGTGTTTGTGCCTGCTCTTAATTTTGTCTGCGAAATCTCCATTTAAATGAAATTATTTATGCTGTCAAAATGCCGATTGTGATCTCCTAACACGGTTACGTTACGTGAATAACTAACGTAAATATTATTACCGATCTGGCTAAACCGCTGAATACTAATCGTAAACGTTTGTACAAAATGCTACGTTCGTTCATAACTTCATACGTGTACGGTGTAAGTATTTAATTGTCGCTTAACTTTCGCGATAAAGTAACCACGTCATAAAAACGGATAGGTTGAAACTTTAAAGCTTCCCAAGCCGAAACCGGTTTACCACTGTTTTTCCACACTGCGGTTCTACTCGTATCGAATTACACGAATAAAGAGGCATCTGGCAATCACTTTACCGCGTCGTACTGTATGTTTCCCGTTATACGGTACATTACGCGATGTTCATATCCGCATACATCGATTCTCACCGTTTCAATTTTGCCGAAGAATACGATACTCTGTGTAACCGCATCGCAATCAATAATCTCATGGTGTGTGTCCTAATCAACAAATTCAACACAAGCGTTTTGTAAAGACCGTATTGAGTTATCTCGCTATTTGACCCAGCAATTACCGAAAACTCCACTACGCCTGTGAATCGTATACCGCGTACAGTATACCGTCGCTGTGTATGTGTGTATCGATTAGTTGTAATCAACGCACGCATGGCACGCGAACAGCCATATCACTGATCGGCAGCTTTTACTCGTCCTCCATCATCCCGCATGCAACATTCATAACCGTGGTGCGGATATATATGCATGCCCCGTGTGTCATATAATTGCACCCCGTATATCCGGTCGCTTATCAAATATCAACACCATGTTTTTTACACCCGAACGCACACCGCTGCAGGAATTCTTGCATCCCTCATCCCGCCTGCAGTACGATGCGGAGTTCTGGAAGACAGTGGCCAAGGTGGCCGTGGCGGGGGCGGTGCTGTCGGCCGGGACGATCTGCTGTGTCCGCTACCTGAACAGCCGGTATCCGGGATGGTACCGGCTGCGCGGGAAGAAGCGGGGACGACTTCCGCCGCCGCGGGTCGGAGCGCCGCCTTTGAAACAAGGGGAGAAGGGAGATGCTGCGCAGTATGTGCCTCTTAGTACGGAGAAGAGTCATGGAGCGCGTGTTGTCCAGTTGGCGGTGTATCCCATCAAGTCCTGCAAGGAGATCCTGGTGGAGGCGTTTCACTGCGGAGAACTGGGTCCGGAATTGCGGACGCCATTTGGGACGGTGCACGATCGGTACGAGTACGCAATAAAATTTAAAACCGTTGCAAAAATTTAAAATTTAAGCGCTACCATTTTCAAAACGCTAATAAAATTAAACATTGGTCAGTTTATACTAACATTTTTATACAGTACTTTCTCTACTTTATAGTTATACATGCTATTATACAAAACAAATTTCAGTGAATAATGCACTGCTTTTAATATTGACGATTTCAGAAGTGTGTCTGGCACACAGCGTTAAAGTATGACAATTGACAAAAAAATTCCGATCGATAACCGGTTGAAAAATAGGATCCTTATCCAGCAATGATACTAATGCAATTTGCTGCATATCGTATTCACAAGTCAATGCAGCGCACATGTTCGGATTTGCAGCTGGGCCATATGATGCGCAAACGAAAGAAGATACATAGATAACTGATAGTCTAAAATTATACTATATATGTTGCAAGTTGCATAGAAGTATACATACTTCGATGGTATTTTAATTGTACTTGCAGTTATTGATATAGATATGCTGCTAATCGGATTACTTTGATTGAATTGTGTCCGTATCTGTATGTGCACTACGTACGTATGAAGTTGATATTTTAATACTGTACTGTTTTTGAGCAGAAGCTGGATGGTCGTCACCGACAAGTATCACTTCCTCTCGCAGCGCCGGAAACCCCGGATGGCCTTGATTCAGCCGGAGATTGATGGCGCATTCCTGGTGGTGAATGCCCCAGGGATGTCGCCACTTCGAGTGCCTATTCAGCCCGATCTTTCCACCGCCAAAGTTGTCACGTCCGAGTAAGTCATCAACCCATCGATTTATATACGCATACACTGTTGTTTTTGGCACATCCGGCAAAGCCGCATGCAGTTTACTAAAATGTCGTATGGGGAGAAATAAGAACCAGTGTCTCATAATTATTATTATGACAACTTAACAGAATATATATATTAATGGTACATATGCATGGTACATTTATGGCGATAATTTGCTGTAGCACTGTTTTCTACAAGTGGCCGTTAGTTGGCAGTCTCGTTACGTAATTCCAGCAGTTACCTACTTCGTGGAGATATCTGAGATATTTTCTCATTTCCTTATAGTGTTTGGGATCATCAAATTTCGGCGGTTGATTGCGGTGACGAGGCGGCGGAATGGTTTGTGACATTCCTGGAGGAGCCTGGACTCCGTATGGTGCATCATCCGCATCAGTTCGGCGGACGAGGGATGCTGGAAATGGATCAACAAGTTATGAAGATCGATCGCGAATTATGGGAGAAAAAAGACAAGGTACAGAATGCAACCGCATCAGTGCTGTTCTTCCGCGTGCGAGGCCGTTTGTTTGATCATATTCTTAATTTGGTACGGTATCCACAAGTTAAGGTTACTCAAGTAGTGTACTTGTATCGCTTTTTGATGTAATATTAGGTGCAGGTAATATCTATATAATCCTGTCATATATATGAATATTCCATCTGAACATTATCGTAGAGTTCTCAGATCTAATGTTGCAAAATTCTGGTATAGTGTACATACATGTCGCTAAAAGTTCACTGAATAATTTGCAGTGCACTTTTGCCGATGGTGCTCCTTATTTACTGTTAAGCCAGGAATCCGTTAGTGAGCTCAGCCGGCACACCGATACTCCCGTGCCGTGGATCCATTTCCGACCAAATATTCTTGTCGGAGGATGCCCGCCCAATAACGAGGTATACACTCACAATCAGTTACTTTTTATTTATTTATTTCGGCCTACTTAACGTATAATATAATTGTAAATTTTGTTGTTGTGTTTACTGTTTCTGTTCAGTCTGTACGCGTTTATTGTACTAATTTAACCCTAACGGTGATCGAGAGCCACCAGCGGCTGTAGTTGTATTTATTTATGAGCGCTATAAAGCGCAATCGGCATAATTCAATAGTCTGAGTAAGTACCTGCTTTCAAATCTGGGTCTTTACAACTCAACCACTATCGTTAAGCACATATCCATTACCAAACGCTTTTACTTTTGCTGTTTTACAGTTTTAGATAGAATTATAAGAGTAAGAATGCATGTTGTAAGAATTACAGTATTCTGTACGTACAAAGTGCCTTATAGTGTCGCACTTTAAAATCCACTTAGGCTGCCATCACCATTTTGGATGCTAATAAAATTTCCGATGATAAAAACTTGACATTATGATTTCAGGATTACTGGTGGCGATTCCGAATTGGATCAGCTGAATTCCGTAACGCCAAACCATGTTGCAGGTAAGACCAAACAACAGTGCGTAGGGCAATTAAACTTTCAGTTATCGGCATATTTTATTATTACTGTATTATTATTTTTACGGCACAAGAGCAGACAACCCCAAAGGGACTTCAGGTCTGGTCGAACAAGTCTGGTCGAACAAAAACAAATTTATACATTTCGGCCTGCTTAAAGTATAATATAATTGTAATTTAAATAATATAATATAATTGTAAATTTTGTTGTTGTGACTTACTGTTTCTATCTAGTCTGTAATGTACATATACGCGTTTATTGTAATTTAACCCTAACGGTGATCGATAATAAAGCCAATATTCGAAGTATGCAAGATCCATCATGCACAAGGTTCTTGTTAAAAATAGGCACTAAAATTATATGTTATGTTCAATACTTAAACAAAACTTTTGCGCTACTTATTGCCTCATTGTAAAATGAGAAGAAATACGGTGACTACCACTGAAACGGCTTATCATCATGATGTTGCAGATGCGTGGAGACCACGGTTGATCCAAAAACCGGGACATTCGCGAGGAAAGATGTTCTAGAAACATTGAAGGCGTAAGTAACTACGAAAAAGGCTACAGAATTTTTTAGTATGCCGTCTGGCGTACAGTGTATAAGATCAAGTATAATGTTTATGATGTTTGCAAATTTAAGCAGCACCGCATGGTTGTAAACAAAACTTGACTACGGTTACCGTTTTTTTTAACTTCGTATTTTTTTCTTATACGCTAGTTTTACATTTTTATATGCAGTAGTTGCTGAGTAGTATTTGAAAAGCCGGCAGTGCAACCACATAGAGTGTGTAAAAGTCATAATGCAACATACCCACCGTATTCTTAAAATGCCGTATTTGATTAATTAATGTTAAGTAGCACTTTCACATGTTTGTTGTGTTGTTGCAGCTATCGCACCAATCAAGATCCCGCAGTTGATGATGTCCTGAAATTCGGACCCCTGTTTGCGATAAACTTAGGCGTTGACCAGACTGGTCCGTGCTCCGTTGGCGATGTTATAATACACCTTCCCGATTAAATAACGATTCCTTTAGTTGTTAGTGGAGATTTACTTTTATATGGACTTTGATGAATTTTGTAAATGTTTTTTGTGTATTCTGATGCCTACCAGTGGTACATACGTATGTTGTTGTTTTTGAATTGTGTCTTTGAACTGCGTGTCAGCGATTTATTTAAAGCTCACCTCCACCGTTTCCGCACAATTTATCATGACCTTCGTTTTCAGTCTGGTTGTTCCTTATTATTTGTGAACCACAGAATTGTTCAGCGGAAAGCCGCGCAAATGAATTTCGTACGTATACTGATCTGTATGCATATATGTAAGCATATTGTATCACGAACTTTGCAGTGACCTAACATTGCTGCAATTATTCATTTACCATACGTCACAAATTGCCAATAAATGCCACCGCGATAATTACCGTAACATAATTGCTTGACTCATTTCAATCATGCAGTACTCTGTACTTCCCGTAATTTTCATTGGCCGTTCTCGTTGGGAAACCCACAGGAAATTAATTATTAAACTTTATCCCTGCCTTAATTCCCGAGCCGCGCCCATTTTTGCTTAACTATTGCTAATCCACGTTTCACCCGGCGTGCCGTCGTCACTGCGTCGTGCACCTGCTCGCTGTAAAAATACTTCTATATATATTGTAAGACATAGCTCGCAAAGTGGACAGGAAAAACTCGATGTTGTCCCAGAGCGCCTCCGCCCCTCCCCGGTGGACGTATCGATTACTAATTTACCACCGCTGCTTCCGCCGTGTTTTCATCCCCATTACGCGCCTGCCGGTGTCACGTGGATGCCGGCATAACGCGGCCTAATCATAAAACCGCTACACGCTAACCGGGTTAATTACAAGCACCGGCGCCTGCTCACTCGGTATCAACATCTTATTATGGACTATTTATAACAAAAACATTGTTGTATACACGTACTGCAGCACGCCCATTCCGTGCAGCGCCGCAAGGATAGAATAATATCAGGGAATTTTTTCATATGCAGATGGTGACGCACAACGTTAACTGATCCAGCTAATCATGGAATTTAATTACAGTACTAAAATGTCATGTGTAAACAATGTCGACAATAATTATACATTAAAGAAAAAAAGTAATATCCGGTATAAAAATATGTAAAAAGAAAATTCAAGAAATGGGTGTATGTATGTGAAAAACAACAACGCACAGCACCTATGCTAACCTGTATAACAGATACCGTAATTATCGAATTTGTGGCCCTGGGGTGCAAATAGTTCGAATGTTATGGCGGAGGGGGGCTTATTTCGGGGAGGGGGCGTAATTTCGGGGGGTGGCATAATTTTTCAAGCGGCATATTTTGGAAGGGGGCATTATATTTCAAACAACTGCGCATTCTGTTCTAGTGAAATTGACCGCAATAGTTACCGGTATATCCAACTACACGACACATTTTGATGCATATTCTTACCTAAGCAACTGTTTCTCAAGAAACACCACAATATGTTGATGTCCGTTTACTGTTTACCCATCAAATTACAATATTTGTTAGGCAGAAATTTGCGGTGTACTTATCATTTTGCAGCGCTTGACATTTAATAGCGGCCCCCTGGGGCGTAATTTCGGGGGGTGGCATTATTTTTCAAACAGGATCGGGGAGGGGGGCTTATTTCAAGGGGGGCTCTTATTGCGGGGGAGCCACAAATTCGATAATTACGGTATACCGCACGGTGTCCGAAATCGCCGCAAGGACGAACTCATATTGTTCTTTATATGCACATGACGCATAATGTGAACCGATCCAGCAAGTCATGAAATTTAACTGCAGCACTAAAATGTCATGTGTACACATACAGTATATCGACGATGTAATAATACTTTAAACAAAACAAGTAATATTTGTATAAAAATTACTCAGTAAGTTATGCCGTACAAAGAAAGTTCAGGAAATGGGTGCACCGTGCACGTAAAAACGCAAGGTATATATGCTGCGATAACCTGTACGACAGATATACCGCTAACCGCACGGTGTCCGAAATATGGTCGATGCATTTTTCATTGTCCCTAAATTACTATGAATTGTCGGCGCTCAGCACACCCAGTCTGGTCTGTATCCGGCGCCCAAAGCAGGCAATGGGGCTAATGTAGCAGAGTTTGGATCCCGGACGACCTTTAAAAAGGGAACGGGTGCTGTTATAGATTAGCATCTCCGTCGGCGGAATGCGCCAGGCGCCGTAGTATGTGATACTGGGACCCCAGCCGCTGTTGATGCGCTTTGCCAAGTTGTGAGGATCCTCCGGATCATTAGCGGCCAGCGCGGCACCGGCACCTAACCAGTGATTCAGCGCCGGTGTGAGCGGTTCGTTGGCCTGTACAACGAAATCCTTTTAATCACGGTGCAACACGTGGTCTAATCAACTGCAACCTTTAAATGCCCGACCGGCATTTGCCCCATCATTATATTCCGGGAAATAAAGCCAAACAAATTTGCACTTTCAAAAGGACAGTCCATTTTGAATTTGCCCTGTTCTAACACAAGGGCAAATTCACTACTGTTACATTTCTTTAAATTCACTGCTGTTATATTTCACTAAATTCTCCAGTGTTACGTTTCGCATACATACATTTACTTAAGCTGAACATGCAATATGTACAGCTATAGGTATGTGGACTGTGATTTATTTATTATAACACTGCAACAAGAACTTTTAGTACATCAATTTTACCGACATGTACCGGAAAATTACACCAGCGAAATTAGTGGCATTCAAGCTCAAAGTAAATATAATATTATTAATCAAGGCAGATTAAATGGCCTCTACAGAGTGTTCAACGTCCAGTTATAAATTGGAAAACTGGGAAAGATAGTAGTTAAGATACTAATGTAAATATAATGCAAATAAAATTATAATAATAAAGAGAAACAAATTAACAAAAGATTGATTAACGTTTTAGATCCCGCGAATTAGCAATGTGTGGTACTAGGTACGAACCGCAGGTTAAGGCATCTGTATTTAGTAATATTTATATTAAGTATTACTATTACGGTTAATCAAGAAGGTTTTTTGTTACTACGCTTGGTCGAATGCGTATTGCTTACTTGCGCCGAATCTTCGCCCAAGTTGTCGTTCTGTTCCACAAAATCACTGAGTTCACCACTGGCTATCGGAACAGATTGGCAAGCTGATCGATCGTTAAAGGTCATAAGCAACAGCACACCCGCAGCCATACAGAGCACACAGGAATTTACCGGCACGAATCGCAACATCTCAGCTAAGAGGCACCGAACAAACTTTCCACCGTATTCGGATTACTAACTACCAAACACGGGACAGGATATTGCCGATTGGGATACAGAGATTGATTTGGCAGTTGACCTTTTGGTGTGGACCACTACAGCACGTACCGATCACGCCGCGATCAATCCACTTGGCGTTGGCGCTCTGGAGTGGCAGTGGAATTCCCGTGTCGTCGGATGAACCGGGGGTCTTATATGTGGATGAGCGGAAGGAGTTCATGATTATAAGGATGCGGTGATTCGTTTCCGGTGTTTAGCTGCAGGGTGCACACAGTCGGCCGGGCGGTGGGGTGACGTAATTGTAAGGTAGGTGTACACGGATATGTTCATTACCCACTTTTAACCGGCGGATCCATGACAGTTAATTGCCAGCTAATAATCTTACCCTGACGTTGTGTTGACAATCTCGGACTGATTATTATATGGAAAGAAATGTCAACTGACAATGTCCTACACATACAACACAATAAAAAATTCATAAAAATAGGAAATAATTACAGTGTGCAAAATGTGCATGCGTAAGTAATACGTACCGTGGACACAGCAAAGCGATTTTGTGGACAGAAAAAGTACTCGTACTGTATCTGCTTACGCTACAGTAGATTTCTGGTAGTCAAGCTTCCGTTTTGTTATATTTCCAAAATTAATAATGAGAAAGTATTGCAAAGCTTCTGTACGATTTATTTATTCAATCTGCTAGATTTCTGATTCAGTCTATACTAAATTGATTCGATATCTGCTTTGGTGCAAGAATCAGCGTTTACGACCTTTCCCTAACGAACGTAAGTAAAAATAGCAATTTTATAAATAAACCAAAATAACGAAATTTTTGTTCTTCCACTCAGATATTTACGCCACGTCAGATACAACATTACAACACCAAAATTTCCTCACTGGCTCACGCATGTATTTTTAATACATCAGCGGTAAGGACAGCAAAATTTTCTCACGCGGAACGACATTTTTCCTATTTAACACGCTTTCCATTGCAAAGCCGAACAGTGGCACACCAACAGCTGTAAGCTGCAAGACGAAAACAACAACGATATTCAACTACATATTAATACAAAGCACTGCACAAGAAAACACCCAATAAAAACCTAACACACTCCGGTATCATCCTTTCTTTTCTCTAACGGATCTTAATTTTTTGTCCTCCCGAAACAGTACATGCTGCTGCACCGTGGGATCCCAGCGTATCTGTTCCAGTTTGTCGGCGAGTCGCGGGCGGAAGGCCGTGGAGGGATATCCCGAGGCCAAGGAGCGCAGCACCACCATCACCACCTTGGATTTGGCCATTTCCCAAACGTCACCTGCAGCAGCGCAGCAAATATAAAAAGCCGTCAGCTGTCACATCCATGATTTATCAATCTTCTATGGTCGTTGTAATTCATCGATATAAGCCTTATCTATTCCTATTGCAGTATTGAATTCATGCCAATCACGGCACTGAAAGCGCATCGCTAGTGCCGGGAAACGCTCTTCACAGATCGCATACATTTTTCTTAAACAAAAAAATGCAATTTTTTTAAAAAAGAACGATTACAAGCAGAAAAACAAAATCAATTTGGACAACCGTAGGCGAAGCGGTGCACTGCTCAATGATGAGCTTAACCGCTCTACGCGACAATCAGAAGCTACCCAATATGTGTGGTATGTATGTACCTGCTAAGTATCGGAAACCATTGAATAACAACTAAAGAATCAAAATCAGTACAAAGTACTTAAAAGGGTTAGAAGTGACTGACTTTAACAACTCTTATAAGTATCGCAACATTTACTAGTCATGCTAACGTACAAGTTCTACCTTCCGTACTTTACGGGATCAGCTTCGCAGCTTTAGCTTCAAGAAACAGGCAACATCAAACCAATTCAAACTCACCTCCAATATTACCGCAGCTAGATAAGACCGCCAAGCGCCCGCCGTGAATTAGAAGCTGACTGCGATCCACGCAGCAGGGAACAATCCGCTGTTTCGCCGAAAAAATTTACAGACCCGAAATTAATGCCGAAAATGAGAGGCTAGATTATAGAGCACAATCTGAAAACAAACAGTCAGGGACGCCAGTTCCACATCAAAGCACCAAGGCTCCAGCCACAAGTGCTGAGGTAACGGATACGGTATACCAGACGACAGTCTTCCGTAACGTGCTTACAGTAGTTCAAATTCCATCCATACACATCGCTATTGAAACTGCAAAAGTTTTTGTGCGGACATTTACAGGAGAAATATATTAATACTTTGATACTTTCTGTTTCTACTTTCTACTGTTTACTTGTCAATTGCCATCAAACTTGCATGGTTGCAACAGAAGAACTTCGGAGTTGCATGAAGATTGAAGAAGCAACATGCAAGACCACGCAGCCTGCATACCAGGGCGGTCGCAGGTTATTGCAGACCTACGTACCCGAAGTTGGAATAGGATACGGCACAATGGCACATGTCAAAAAATCAATTTAAGCTGTTGTGTTTACAGAAAGAAAAAAGATTGCTCGAGTTTTGCATTTGATTGCATTTCTCGAGTTTTGTTTGTTTTTTGTTCGAAGTGGATGCACCAAGTACTTCTACACATGTAGCACTATAGATAGGCTCTAATCACTCTTCCTTCGTGTCTGATCTTATCCGAAACAGCAAAAACTGCACAGAAAGCAATGGATTCATCGCTCGAACCAAACCAGCGAAAGCCAAACGCCGTGAGTGTTCCGGTGAAAACGAAGGAGATTGCATTATTACGGAAGGAGATCGGCGAAGGAGACTGTATTATTACGGAAGAGCCTTGGGTGTACGCCGTTGATGACAAGAAACGCGAAACACACTGCAGCTGTTGCTTGCGTCGCTTGCCAGGGGATCTCTCCGAAAACAGCAAGACCACGGCCTCGCGCTGCTCCGGATGCCGTTTCGCGCATTACTGCTCCAAAGAATGCCAGGTAAATTCGGATTATCGCGCTACTATCGCCTCACGTTCACAAATTCATTAGAAAAAAATTCTTAACTGTTTCAAAAAAATAAAAAATCGAAAAATTCTAACTTTGTTTAAAACAAATACAATTCTCAATTTTTAAAAGATGAAAAAATTCAAAATTTGTTTCAAAAAAATTTTAAATTAGATTAAAAAATCTAAAAGTTCGAAATTTTAAAAAGTAATAATTTTTCTTCAAAGAAAGCGGACTGGAAAAGCGTGGGTTCTCACAAACTGGAGTGTTCCATCTGGAAGCGCCTGCCTTCAGGCACCCGTCCCCCGAATCATTTCCATCTGGCCCTCCGCATCCTCCTCAAACTGCACACTCCCCAAAATCTCTCCGAAATTTCTGTCTCTCTCTCCCATCCCGGACATACGACGATCTGGAGTCCCATTCCAAAGAACTCTCACAACAACCTGCGACGATGGAGTACGCTGCACTTCTCCACCGGATGCTCATCCACTACCTCTCTTTCACCGATCTCCACACCCCCACCTACTGGGAGGCCAGTATCTCATTGACGGATGTGGTGGCGATGCTGGGACGTATCCGCTGCAATGCGTATATGATTACGGATGAGGATATGGATGTGGTGGGGCAGGGTGTGTATCTGCAGAGCTCGCGCTTCGATCATTCCTGCCAGCCGAATGCCAGCCAGATATTCTTCGGGAAGAAGTTAGTCGATACGGGCTAATCAGAAGATTTCCAGTGTGACGGATGTGCGGATCGCTTATATTCCGCGGATGTTTCCGGCCCGGCAGCGTCAAGCAGTGTTGAAAGAGACGTTCTTTTTTGACTGTGATTGCCCCAGATGCAGCAGGCCGGAGAAGGTAAAATTAAAATTGGTGAATTTAATTTACAGATAGTTACCTGTTAGTCTTTACAAAAGAATTCGTTGGTTATCAAGGAAATTTGTTAATTATTAGGTCGTTATTGGTGAAATTAAAAACTGAGTAGAAACTGGAAGAGGTTTCACATCTTCTTATCCTGACAGCTTAAAAACGATCACTCAAAACACTGCAAACGTACTTTCAGTTCCTAACTGTCCTCACATCTTGAATTATAATTTACAATAATTAGCAAATATGACAGACTTTTGGCTGTATGTATTCATTGTATTGTTTTTTTAACCAATTTGGCAATGGTGCACCATTTTTGAGTTTCCTTTGATCAATTTGTTTGTTTTTGTATATCTCGTTATTAAAGCTTATGAAAACATTTATTCCCGTTAGGATGCGGAAGAGTTCGGCTTGCGCTGCCTCAATGTCAACTGTAAACAGTCCATTCCCAGCGACGAGCGCGCAGATGACCCTTGTCCGACCTGTGGCACGGCCCCGCCTGACCACGTTAACCGATTGCAGCAATATGATCGTCTGGTGGAAACAGTTATCACTCTTCTGGAAAAGGGGGCAGATGCGGATCCGGATGTGGAAAACTGGAAACTGTTGCAGCGGTGCAGCTCCTTGATGCATGACGGTAATCCGATCTTGACCGCTTTGACTGTCTTCTGTTTCCGTGGGGCTCCAGATGAGTATTTGTCGCGAGCCGAAATGTTAAGGACTGCTATTTCCTTTGCGCGGTACGTAGAAGTATTTCTACTATTATTAATCTGAATTCAAGAGAAGCGTGCAAAGATGCAGCAGCCGTTTTGGGTACACTGAACGCACATCCTAAGGTTTCGCGTGGTACTAACGATTTTAGATGTTTTTTCGATGTTTTAACTTTGATCATTTTAATTAGTGCAAATCTGCGCAAGCGTAGTGATATGCGCGATTTGACATTATTTTTTCAAGAGTATCGGCATATTTAAAAAATGGCCCTACCTATAGAAGCTTATATGCAGACAGTTCACAATTGTGATGCAAGTATTGCTACCAAGTACCAACTACCAAGACACTTGTCAGTACTTTTTTGTGCGAGTATGACGATTTATCATTGATTTCTGTTATTTTGTAGGAAATTCCTTCCTGTTGTGGATCCGCTCAGATCGTTCATCTTGTTCACAGCCGTCGTGGTTTTCACTAGAGCAACATGTCAGCCTGATTGTAAAATGACACGGTCAGAGACTGAGAGATTGTTGAAAGATGCCTACGAAACTCTTGCTGTGACGTACGGAACGAACTCTGCCCACTGCAAGGATGTCAAGTTGGCTCTCACGAAATTTTTGTGTCTTTGATGAGTGGGCGGCGGTTTTGGAAAATCAAAATTTCTAATGAAGTTTGCGATATTTTACTTTGTGTCTTTGCGATATTTTATTTTGTGGTCTCGGATTTGAATACTTAAAATAATTCGGTTGAAACTGAAGCAGTTGGCAGTTACGTTACATCCGCTGAGTGATCCGCATGCCTCGATTGCTATAACACCACAGTGACCAGTCACCACACAGCTGAAAAATAAAAACAATTTCGCTTTTGCAACATTTTCATTTTTTCTGACGTGCCTTCGCTGCGCTTTTGAATCTTCGATGTGGGAGACCGAAGCCGCGAAGCCCATTTCGAGTATTAAAATTATGTATGTTGTGGTTTGAATGAATTCTTTGGCTACGATGATGTTTGACTGCCACTGTATTACGTTGTACATACAGTGTACCCTTGTTCTGCAGTGATTTATCATTTGCGTTGTTTCTTTGTGAAGGAGAAATGAGCAGCAGAAAGAAACCGCGGGATTTTTGTTCCCCTCCGGATCCTCTATCATCAGACGCGGCCACGGAGAACGAAGATCTTTCGCGGTTGCCGTACAAGCGCCGACGGCGAGAGGCACTGTGCGTGCCTTCATCGAGTAGTGATGCTGGGTCTGTTGGAACATCAACATCATCGTCACGATCGTCTGGTACATAGGTTTTCACGTTTTCTCTTGGTTTTTGGGATAGGACTGCAATCACTGCATGCCTCGATATATTACGAATTTTCGATCACTGCTTTACTGACATGACCAGAAATGTTCGAATCTGCACTCAAAAAACGTTATGGAACGTATAGAATGATATTGAATTTTAGTGATAGAATTCACGGGATCTGCATCGCATCCACGCGAAGTGGGATATCCTCAGCGCAGATCCGGTAAGTGATAAATTATGGATTTCCGAATGCCAGTTACTGAAAAAAATGATTATTATAAAAAAATGCCGATCATTAATTGTGGATTGAATTTCTTGCTGTTCGCATGCCAGTATTACAGTACTATCCTTGGCACCTTGCTAATAAACCTGCTGACTGGTGTGTAGTGTCAGTGGCATCGACAGCCTTGTCATCCGAAGCGCTTCCACCAAGCCCCGAGGCATACAGCTCGGAGACGGCCTCGTCTTCCTGCACCAGTGATTTCACTGGGAATTATCGTGTTTTGCCGCGAGGAAGATTTAGCGCTGTCCGCAGTTTGTCCGCGACAGCACCGTCCAGGGAACTGCTGCAGTTTTCCGGTTAGTGTTAAATTTTCGACGATAATACAGTACAAGCTGTTAGACGCACATCCTTTGCCATATATTAAATAATTTTTGATATAACACACATCGATTGAATTTTATTGATATCGATTGAATTCGATCATCTCGATTGAATTTTATTAATAATTTCAGAATTTTTTTAAAAGTAAGCATTGCCACGTATCGACAACTGCCGGATATAAGTTCTGCTGAAATTTCAGTTAAATTTAATCTGCGTTTTTTCTTCACTGGATGCTCTGGGTAAGCGTAGCTTTATCCACATCATTAATACATCTTTTGTTAAGTTTGCTCGCACCCAAATTAAGGTACTGAAGGGCTTTAGCGTAAATAAAATTTTCTGGCGGTTGGCTATGAAAACCTTAATAATTCCGTGATGATTTTCATTGTATTACAGAAAAAGGATTTCGTTTTGCTTCGTTACTGGTTTACTAAATTTTTTCTTGGCTGCCTAACATGTCTTGAGAGCACTTTCGATTGTACGCGGCTTTTCCAAATTTGCGCGCTGCTTATCGTTGCATTAACTGATAGAAATACTTTTAGTTATTCTGCCGAGTTCATGAATGACGATACTGTGGTATCAGGTATGTATTCATACTGATCTTTTTTTTGGTTTCAGAGCATGGAAAGTACAGTGCAACACCGCGTACGGTTCCCCATCTTTTCGAGCATTCCCACTATCTTCCGTCGTACATTGATAACTACTGGGATTTAATCAAAGTCAGAAGTATTATGCTGCAGAATGCTGCAGCAGCCGTGCGAACGGCTTATGAGGCCGTTTACGGCGCACAAATGGCATCGTATTCGCGGTTAATGATTGCGGCGCTTCGAGATGGACTTATACCGGTAAGAAATTTGAGCGTTTAGCGTGTTGGTTACCTGCTGACGGATTTTTGAAGAAGAAGAAAAATACCCTTTTAAAAGATGAATAGGTTATTTTCTAAACTGCTTAATAATTTTTCATTTTTAAGTAAATTTTTTAAGAAGAGATTATACCGATTTCGACCTCTTTCGACTATTTTCACTGGCACAATGCGTGCGCTTGTGCTACATCATAACTACACATCTGACCTAACACTATGATATTTTCACTACATACACTGTAAGTCTGAAATTGGTTAGA